AATCCACCCTCATTCGGGGCCTAGTGTCCTTGCTAGCTGCATCAATTGGAGAGAGGAACGAGTGCTAGCAAGGACGTTGAGCCCCAAAGGATGGTGAATTATGAGATCCCACATCAGTTAGAGAGGGGAACGAAGTATTCTTTATAAGGGTGTGGAAATCTCTCCCTATTAGACGTATTATAAAAACCTTGAGGAGAAGCCCAAAAGGAAAAGCCCAAAGAGGACAATATCTACTAACAGTGGATTCGGGCTGTTACAAAAGATCATATGTCAACATAACCTAGATCCAAATAATGTTTAGAATCTACCTGCGCGAACTTCTCGAGAAAAGGGTAAACATCGAAACGAGAAACCCAATGACGAAGGATACCCTTTTCAGTCCTAAAGGGTACCCTTACAATCTTGGAGTAATTAGTGCCAAGAACAGGTTCTATTTCTTGGTTGCACTTAGTCCCCTTAGCATCCGGTATAAGTCTCGTAATCTGCATACACAAACTTTTAAGTTTAGCGGTGATTTAACATAGTATCATCGTATTATTTTTATCGAACACTTACGATAATAATTTGAGGCTTGAAATCGAGGCCTTGTTGCTTAATTCTAAGAACAAGTTCTTCTTCCATAGCTTTAACTTGATCAAGAATGTACACAACCTAAACAAATCACACAAACGTCGATCGTATGAATAGTCTCTTATGATTACGATATCATATGGTTTTAGAAAACGATATCTATTCGATCCCGAGATCGACGAACACTCGTACCTGGCCTCCGGTATCGGGCAAGCCAAGAACATCAGCTTGACCAAAGTATCCATGAGGAGACAAAATGACAACGTTGAAAACAGTAGGAAGTCTACTGAAGAACTTCTCCATTTGGATTGGATCATAAGCTTGGAATATTTCAGACAGACATCTTATGGTTTCCTTTACTCTTCCTGCACACTCTCCCCATCCTCTCTCAAAACCCCATTGCTTGAATCTGATTCCCGTTACGAGGGAGCGAAACACGTAAATTAGTTAATATCGAACTCGTAACGTTAACTTTTTTAGGGTTAGTATAAGGTATATATTCGGAATGATATCTCGTTCTCGAATATTTTTCTTAGACATGAAGTTAAGAATGAGAATTCAACTTACGACTAATTAATGTTAAGTTAATGGGTTAGGATATATTCTTAACGGAAAGCGATTAGGGTTACTCACTTGAGATAGAAGTTTTCGTAAGGGGTGTCGGGAGGAAGTACGGAGAGGAAAATATCAGCGAGAATTAGTGCCATTTGGAGCTTGGAAGCTGTGTTCAAAGTCTCGTTTATCATAAGTTTCTGTGACACAAATTAATTTCACCGTTAGAGAGAAAGATAAAAGATGAAAGAATAAGGGTGGTTGTGGGTTAGGTTGAGTTAGGTCGGGTTGAGACATTCTCTAGACCCAACAGATACGTACCTGTTGAATCGAATTGATTGATGGGTTTTTTGAATCATCAATTTTTTTTAACACCCATCTGAGAAAAATTACGAAAAAACGAGCACGATTTTCAAAAACGCGAATTTATCGTACCTCTCCCTGATAATCAAGGGACAACAAGTAATCCACAAGAGGTTGTGAATTTTCCAACTTTCCACTAAGCTTGGAGGTGAGGAACTTTGTGGTATAACTAAGGCCTTCTCCAATTGATGAGGGAATGGTTAAGTGAGGAGTTGTGAATTCAATGGCTCCAAAATCCACTTCCAATGCATGTTCATCACTTGCCCTACAACATATAATCCATATTCTTAGATGTTTAAAACAAGAAACTTAGTAATAATAAGCACGTTTTCGTACCATTCTTCGTTATAGATCGTCTCCTTTAACTTGAGAAATTCAGCTGGAGTGAGAGATTTGATCGAGAGATCGAGAGAGTTGACTTCAACGAATTCCCAACATCCCGGTTCTGGTCGTATGGCAAATGCAACATACGGAGGAATGGCTATTGCTACCTATGCATGACAACAATGCATGTCGTTAAAGGGTATTAACGAATTTTTTTAAAGTTTAGGGGTATTTTTGAAATAAAGTACTTTAAGATAAAAGGTAAAGTTTAAGGGTATTTTTACTGATCCCTGAAAAGTATTAACAAGTATTAACGAAACTTTTTAAAATTTAGGAGTATTTTTGCAATATTTTTGAAAGTTTAAGAGTACTTTTGAGACTAAGGGTAAAGTTCAAGGGTATTCTTACTAATCCCGAAAAGGTATTAACAAAAAAAACTTAAAGTTCAAAGGTATTTTTGAAATTTTTTTAAAGTTCAAGAGTATTTTTGAGATAAAGTTCGAATCTCAAGGTATTTTTACTGATCCCGAAAGGGTATTAACGAAACTTTTTAAAGTTGAGTATTTTTGCAATATTTTTAAAAGTTCAAGAGTACTTTTGAGACAAAGCGTAAAATTCAAGGGTATTTTTACTAATCCCGAAAGGGTATTGACAAAAAAAAAAATTAAGTTCAAGGGTATTTTTTAAAAAAAACTTAAAGTTTAAGGGTACCTTTGAGACAAAGTGTAAAGTTCAAGAGTATTTTTACCAATCCCGAAAGGGAATTAACGAAACTTTTTAAAGTTTAGGGGTATTTTTTAAACTCTTGAGACAAAGTGCAAAGTTCAATGATATTTTTACTAATCTCGGAAGAGTATTAACGAAACTTTTTAAAATTCAGGGGTATTTTTGGAATACTTTTGAAAGTTAAGTAGTATTTCTGAACATGAAGAGAGAGATTGATTGGACGAACCTGAGTAGAAGTCAGCATAAGACCGAGCACGCCCTCCATGACCCTATTCCTCTCGGTCTTATCCTCAACGACAAGCTCCATCTCCTCGATCAATTGCTTGACCTTCAAGCTCCTATTCCCCTTCTCCACAAACTTCCCAAAGCATCTCTTCATATAGTTATGGCTTTGCCTCAAGGCCTCCGGCATCCCATCAGCAATCAACTTAGCACCACCGTTGGCATTGCCATTCACCATTGAAGAAGCCATGATATGATGATCAGCAAGATATGCAAGAAGAGGTCAAGCCAAGGGGCATTTATAGGAGGCCCCAAATGGGTGCCATTGGGTTGTGAAAATGGTGCCTTTTTGGGTTGAAGACAAGGAGGAAGAACATTCTTGGACAAAGGGGAAAGAATTATTTGTGGGTGTGAAGATGCCCTTTTCTCTCACGCAATGGGTATTGTTTTGTTTCATGTTAATGCATTATTCTTTACTTGTATTCACTGATGACTGCAAACCAATTCTATTTCAACCATCTTTCCTTGTTTCTCCTACATTTTTATACCATTTGTTTCGAGGATTAGTTACTAGATTTCTCGATAATGTAGTTTCGGTCGAAAGATATGAAGTAAAGCCTTTACCGACCCGGGTTCATTACTATATGTTGACAGCATTTTCGGTCCACATTTAAAGTTTACCCCGAACAGGGTGGAAAATGGGAAGGGAGTGGAGGGAGATTCTTTTTGTTAGCTAAATGAGACTAGGGACGGAGATTATATTCCTTATGTGGAATCTCCACAAAAATAAATGAAGAATTTCGATAAGATGGATTGAAATAGAAGTCGGAGAAAGAAACAGGGAAGACTTCTCGACCCACAATTATAATATTTTGTTTTTAGGGAACAAAACTTGAATCATTTACAAGTTTTGAAATAATTACTTACAAAAGTCACCTAAAATTCTTTTATCTTTTGTTTTTTTAAATAAAAAATAAAAAAGCCTATACTTTATTCCAAGATTTAACCAAGAATTGTATTCCCATCAAAGGGCTGAAAGCAAACCCTAAACTCAAATGAAATCCACTTCTCATATTCATATGTTCTAAATTTTTCGAATTTAAATTATTTTTTTCCACTCTACATTTTTATTTTCAGGTTGGTGGGTAATTTAGTTTAAGTAGTTTGCCATAAAGAAAATTTACTATTAACATACATGAATCGACCATAATAAAATATAGCTAATTCGATCGGTAATATGTAACTTTCTATTATAATCTACTTAAAATAAGGTGTGACAAGAAAATAAATCTTACATTTTTTATAAAGAAAATTTAGAAAATTTAATTACTGTAAAATTTTATTACTAATTTGATAAATAATTTTCATTAGAAAAGTTCTTTTTATTAAAAGAAATAGAAAGATAGACCAAAGTAATATGTTAATTTATGAAAATTATTTTTTTGGTCATTAACTTTGTCTCTATAGCCATAGAATAAGAGTATATTAAATATTACATTGTGGGAATCTTTTTTAAAAAAAGAAAATAAAAAGGAAAAAAAAAGTATATTCAATGAATGTACCTAAAGGAATAGAGATATATGAAAAGTATCGTTATAAAGTTTAGACAATGAGAACCAAAGAGATGTGACAAAAAGAAAATGTTACATTCTATTTTATTTTATTTTGTATTATCGGTTTTTTATTACTTTTAAAAAATTATTTATCTTCTCTCCATTTCAAGTGGTGATTATTTAGTCTTGAACTAATCAATAAAATGAAAAAATCAACATTGTTTTTTTTTATTAAAAAAAAAAAATCTAAGAATATGTCAGAGGGTAGACATCAATTACAACTTCTCCTTTTTTGGGATTTTTCAAACAAAACATCAATAGGCTTGAAGAGTAAGCCTATTTATTCCTGGTTCTAAGACCAATAGTTCGAGCGGTAGACGCCCTTCTTTCAAATTGTTTCTCATTATTAAGAAAAGGTAACAAAGATAAAATACGAGCTTGTTTTATAGCAATAGTAATTAAGCATTGCTATTTTAAGGTCAATCTATTTACCCGTCTAGATAATATTTTTCTTTGTTCACTAAGATAATATTTTTCTTTGTTCACTAATAAATCGACTAATTAAACTCATGTTTCTATAATCAATTCGATCCCCCGATCCAGATATTTTTAAACTTTTTTTGAAAAAAATTGAAAGTTTAATTATGAGTGAAATAATTTTTAATCTTGGCCTATGTTAATTGCAATCAAACTAGGTTGGAAATTGTTGCGCATTTATCAGAAGGAAATTGATCACAAGCAATCTAGATAATGAACTATAAAAATTAAACCACCTCAATTCTAGACTCACAAAGCGAAAGACGTTAAAATGCATATAAAAAAAACTAACTGCGTCTAAAACAACAAAAAGAAAGAGGATCATGTTAATTCTGATTTCAAAGTATATAAACGGATATGCTGGAAGATGGATCAGATTCAAAGTGCTAAGAGCACCAGCAAAGTATAATCAACGTCGATCGTTTGGGGAAAGTATCATCACTTCCATCTTCAAAAAACGTATACAACCAATATCACTTGAAAACAGACGTTTCATGTCAAAATAATCAATGAGAATAAAATTTAAGCAATGGATATTCCAGACAAGAGAAAACAACTAATTCAAATCGAAGAAGATGGATCAGACAGAATGTGATAAATACACCAGCATAGTATAATCAGCGTCGATCATTTGGGGAAAGTATCATCACATCCAACTTCATTCGAACCAAAAACAAACATCTATATGCGCTCTATTACCGGTAAAAACAGCATTAGAATCGAAGATCAACAGCAGTTGTTTCAAAGCATTCAAATAACTAAACTACAGAAGCCAAGGGACAAATAAATGGAGAAAATCAATTCAATCAAGATCGAGGAAGATGGATCAGACAAGAGTGTGGTAAACACACACCAGCATAGTATAATCGGCGTCGATCATTTGGGGAAAGTGTCATCAATTCCATCTTCGATAAATAATCATACATTTCATACAACGAAAAACATGTAATCACATAACCATATAAATCAATAGTGGCTATAAATTTATCCAAAACTGCAATTCAGCGGCTAGCTTCATAAAGAAGCCATGAAAACCTCTGCAGTTCACAGAATTGGAACAGTTATCGCGTCGGCTCATACGAAGCAGCCGATTATGAAACGAAGTCTCGCGGTTGCTCGTAATCAGTATTCGACGCCAATAAATCCTCTACGAAGAAATGGAAAAGTACTACCTGCTATGAATCAAAACCCTAATTCTATGCAGTGAAGAATGGCTGTAGAGAGAAGACGATTGTTTATGATGAAGATAAAGATTAAGAAACTTATATATAGACGCAGAGAGATGAGAATGTCGGCTTCCAAACCCTAAAATCGCATTTTAGGTTTTACAAATCTCATGACACGTGTACGGTTTCGATTTATTCTATATTTAACTAACGAAAAGATGAGATGAGTTCATTTTAATTAATTTTAATTTAACTTATTATTAATTTATAGTAAATATAAAAAAATCTTTGGAATGTAATTTTTTTTAAATATATATTAAAATGGAGATGTATATTATAATTCAATGTTTTAAAATAAATAAATAAATATTTTATACATTAACACAAACTTTCCATTTATTCTATATTTAACTAACTCAAACTATCAAACTTAAATCATAAAAATTTGTGTTAGGTTACATTTTTTTTTTATTTTGTTTGAGTTGGGTTAAATTTTAAAAAAATCGAAAAATTTGAGTCAGTTTTATTATGAAGATTAAGAATATTTGTCGTTTGTAAATAATGTTAAATGATGTGTTATGAGATTTATATTTGAGTTTTATGAGATTTTTCTTTCGCTCCATCACGGTCTTTAACTTTTACCTTATAAACTCACATAAAATGGTATGAAACCTTGTTGAATAGCATTTTAAATTCTTCAAACCCTTGAATCCAATATCGAAACTGAGTATATATTTAAATTCGACGTTATTAAAGATGTAGATCACATTACGAATGTTAAAACCATTCACTATAAGTTGTGACAACTGATAATTTAAAGAAAACGTGATTAGTGTCGGAGCGGATTTATTAATAACATGCAAAACGCATGAATGATGACGAGAGACCCAACAGGAAAACGTAGAAATTCTAGTGATATATTAATCACATGCAAAATGCGTGAATGGTATCAGAGTATGAACACTAGAGAAAGTGAAAACAGAAAGAGATTGTACAAGTAGAGAGAGACGCAACAGGGAAGCATTGAACACTAGAGAAAGTGAAAACAGAAAGAGATTGTACAAGTAGAGAGAGACGCAACAGGGAAGCATTAAAAATCATTTTCGACAAGCGAAAACAGCTCGGCCACAGACATGAAAAGTACGTGGAGGCTTGATGGATTCATGAAATAGAGGGAGGAGAGGAAAAGAGCGAGAATAAAAATAAACAGACCGAAACAGTCAATATTTAAAAGTCCAGGGACAATAACAAACGTTTCAAAAGTACAAAGTCTAAAATGAATAAAAGTCGAAAGTCATAAAATAAGGTTCATTCAAACCGTGGGGTCAAGAATGTGCATAGCTAATTTTGAAATGAAAACAAAAAGACTTATGGAATGGACATCCACCATTTACTTTTAAAGTCTAATCACATGTACATCAAAATCGTTAGGTTATCACGAGTTCAACCAGACCTACTTATTCCTCTCCCACCCCAATAAAGTTATGATCGTTTTTCACGTTTTTCATCTCAAAAAATTCAAAACCCATCAATAAGTTAGTGTTGTACCCTCGATCAAGAGGTTAAAAAGGTTCAACTATCTCCACCCGAACGAGACCCGACACCCATCATACACCTCCTCGAGAACAAAAATGAAATTAGACACTATAGCTAGTAGGAAGAGGCATTGTATAGTTAAGAACATGGAGATAGCTGAATTTTGATTGTGTTTGTTGAGTATATAGTGATGTGAGTTCATTAAGGGCTAAGGAGAGACCTTGCATAAGCCATTGGCAAAGCCAATAGTTTCTTGGCTTTGCTCACATATGCCCTCTTTGTGAAGTTGTTGTAGTCATTTGCTTCAATCTCGTCCAATATTTGGCGATATAATAGCAACGAAGCCCACACCTGTATACCACAAGTGTTCATGAGTAACATGTTCATACAAAAACTAGCTATCATTTTAAGACGAAAAGGGAAACGTACCGGCCATCTGCTAGCTTTGTTAAGCTCCAACACTCCTTTCTCGGCCTCATCGAAGAACAATCTGGCTCTTTTAATTTGATTCTTCATGAAGTTTCTCCATTTATCTGTTACTCTTCCGGCGAAGATGTCCTCGTCTGATAGTCCAGCCTGAGCTAGCTCGTCTTGTGGTAGATATATTCTTCCTCTTCTAGCACTTTATACACATTTTGTTCGTTATAACGTCTTTTCGTTCGTGTTGGAACACAAAAAACGAATCATTTGAATCTAACATCTTTTTAAACCCGACAACATAAATTCGTGAGTGTTTTAGCTAGTTTGTGTGCACCTTAGACAATCGTTCGACCCTAGGTTATTTGGGTGGATACCGTGGTTTGGATGTGTTATGTGAGATCCTACATTGGTTTGGGAGGGAGCGAAATATTTTTTATAAGGGTGTGAAAACCTCTCCCTAGTAGACGTGTTTTAAAACTTTGAGAGAAGTCCTTGAAGGGAAAGTTTAAAGAGGATAATATCTGTTAACAGTGGGCTTGGGTTGTTACAAGTGGTATCAGACACTGGATAGTGTGCCAACGAGGACTCTGACCCCCAAAGGAGGTGGATTGTGAAATCTTACATCGATTGGGAAGGGAATGAAACATTCCTTATAAGGGTGTGGAATCCTTTCGTTTTAAAACCTTGAGTGAAACCCATGAAGGAAAAACTTAAAGAGGGCAATATCTGCTAACAGTGAGCTTGGATTGTTACAAATGGTATTAGAGCCAGAAACCGAACAATGTGCCAACGAGTACGCTAACTCCCTAGGGAGATGGATTGTGAGATCCTTCATCGATTGGGAAGGGAACGAAACATTCCTTAGAAGGATGTGGAAACCTCTCCCTAGTAGACACGTTTTAAAACTTTGAGTGAAACCCATGAAGGAAAAGCCTAAAGAGGGCAATATTTGTTAACAGTGGACTTGGATTGTTACAAATGGTATCAGAGCTAGACACTGAACAGTGTGCTAACGAGTTCACTGGCCCCCAAGGGAGGTGGATTGTGAGATCTTACATCGATTGGAAAGAGAATGAAACATTCCTTAGAAGCACGTGGAAACTTCTCCTTAGTAGACGCGTTTTAAAACCTTAACTGAAGTCCTTGAAGAAAAGGCCTAAAGAGAACAATATCAGCTAGCGGTGGGCTTAGACCGTTACATATTCTCTCTAAGTTCTTTAGTTTGTCGTTAATTCTTAAACTTCGACGCTTACACCTACACTAGACAACTAGAAAGACAACAATTGAGACATGAACCAATTTCATTAAGGTTTTGAGCTGAGAAAACATTACTAAAGGACAGTGAACTTACTCTTCTCCAACATCTCTAAGAATGTTTGTAAGCTGATTAGCAATGCCTAACGCCAAAGCAGCATTATACACACTCTCTGTGCTTGCTTGTGAGTCAGGTGCAACGCCCATGACAGGAACACTCATCAACCCAACAGTTCCAGCAACATAATAACAATATAGATACAGTTCGTCGAAATTCTTGTATTTCGACTTCCTTAGATCCATCCTCATCCCTTCGATCATATCTTTGAACGGCTGCAAATATCAAAAACTTATTAGACTTCAATCCGCTCGATAACTAAAAACACCATGGCTACTACATCCATGAAAACAAGTACAAACGAAGTACGAACGTATAAGATTTAGTATGACATTAGTGTTAGATCGAACCATATCCAACCTGAATATCAACCGGAAACTTAGTAACGGTATCGGCTAACGCTGCGTCGAGCATATCAAATGGCCTCCCTTGGAAAAGATCTTCCAACCTTGCCTCCCATCTGTCCAATGCAGAAGGTGTTATGTGTGAAGCATTTGGCCCATCAACCAGTTCATCTGTTCTCCTACACCATACTTTTTGCCAAGAACAAAGGCAAGTTTTCTCTCAAATCAATGGCTCAGAAATGGGAAAAAATGTATGCCAGAAACTTGCAGATTTCAGAGATGAAATGATATCATAATCGAATTCCATCGAATATGTAACGACTCAAGCCCACCACTGGCAGACATTGTCTGTTAGGAAAAGGTTTCCACACCCTTATAAAGGGTGTTTCGTTCTCCTCCTCAACCAATGTGGGATATCACAATCAATCACCCTTTCAGGGCCCAGCGTCTTCGCTGACACTCATTTCTTTCTCCAATCGATGTGGGACTCCCACCAAATCCAATCCCTTCGAGGCCTAGCGTCTTTACTGGCACACCGCCTCGTATCTACCCCTTTGGAGAATAGCCTCCTCGTTGGCATATTGCTCGGTGTCTGGCTCTAATACCATTTGTAACGACCTAAGTCCACCGCTAGCAGATCTTGTCCTCTTTGGACTTTAGGGAAAGGTTTCCACACCCTTATAAAGGGTGTTTCGTTCTCCTCCCCAACCAATGTGGGATATCACAATCTATCATAATCCACTCCCTTTCAGGGTCCAGTGTCCTTACTGACACTTGTTCCTTTCTCCAATCAATGCAGGACTCCCACAAAATTCAGTCCCTTCGAGGCCTAGCGTCTTTACTGGCACACCGCCTCGTATCTACCCCTTTGGAGAATAGCCTCCTCGCTGGCATATTGCTTGGTATCTGGCTCTAATACCATTTGTAACGACCTAAGTCCACCGCTAGCAGATATTGTCCTCTTTGGACTTTAGGGAAAGGTTTCCACACCCTTATAAAGGGTGTTTCGTTATCCTCTCCAACCAACCAACCAATGTGGAATATCACACGATCGATGACAGTCAAAGCAGAAAAGAAGCAAACCCCTTACCATATATTGCCCAAATAGCCTTTTGCCGCTCAGGAGTCATCAACATAGTTCCTAAGAACAATAAGAACAGGAATCAGATAAGAATCTAATTAACAGAGATTTTGGTTGGAGAAATGTCAACAAAAAAAGGCTAACCCAGAGAAAATGTCTTGGCATACTCTGCACAAACTTCACCACAACGATCATAAGCTTCATTCAACAAGCTAAGAGTCCCCGGAAGAACAATATCCGGCTTAACATCCAATTCTCCGGCGGTTCTCAGTTGCCGTTTCACCAGAGCAGCCTGTTTCAAAACTACGTTATACACCTTCTCCTCCGCCGAGACGGCCATTTCTCCGGCGGGATTCGCCACCATACTTGCTGCAATAACAGAGCCATATCCACCTTGACAAAGAATTGGATATTTCAATTCTGTAGAGTGAGAGTGATTCACTCGTTTCTGTTTCTTGTTCATCAGATTCGCCACTCGATTTCGCGAGAAGAATCTAGAAGAATCGAGAATTTGAGATCCATCGCGAACTGAATCAAGAAACCCGAAGATCGATGGGGAAATTTCGACGTTGGGAGAGATAATCAACGATGAAGCAAAAGACATATCAAATTATCAATCGATTAATCAACGAATCGCAGAGGAATCGAGAAATCCAGTTGAAATATGGATAGAAAAAGCGAATTAAAATCCGATTGAACCGTCCAAGAAATTCTAAGCAATGCTTCGACACGGAGAAAGCTACCACTTAGCTTCTCTTTTGTATCGCACCTGTAATTCGTCCAAGAATATTCTTAAAAAAATACACCCAATATGGATTACAATAAACTAATATAAGAACCCGATTGAATGGGCATAAAAAAATAGTTCATAACCAAAAAATACCAAACACCCACATGATGATAATCCTCAAGAAATGGCAAAAAATTTAAAAGCTCAGTTCACTGTTTCTCTTTTTGTGGTTAGTGGAAAAGGGTCGGTTTCTTTCGTCATCGAAATTTGACTAATCATAAAATAAAAAGCAAGAACACGAGGCTATTACATGATATAAGAACAGGAACGCTTACGATTGTTGAAGAACAGCAATGAAACAGAGAGGGCTCTGGAATTTGTTTGTGGGTTTTGATTCCACTTTGGTGTTTGATCGTGTAAAAGGGTGATTGAAGTGGGTGTTCTTGTTGCGGGGGACTGAGTTGAATCGTGGCCGCCGTGCGCTTTTTGGGCTTGGTGGTGGATGGAGGCTCTCACGGAATTTGATCCGCAAACTGTGTGGTTGCATGAGCTCGGCTAGTTCTTTTTTATATTTTCCCCTGTGCTGGGGGTTGAATTTTCTGCAACTTGCAGCTCCGCTTGTGGGCTGAGACAAATAAGAGTGTCGGAATTGTAGCTAATGTTACTTCATTTTTTGTTTTTAGTACCAATTCACTATGACATCTGGTAGCATTTTTATAAGTGCGCCAAAACTTCTCCTAACACATGTGTTTTAAATTTATGAGGCTGATAACTATACATAACCGGTCAAAACGGATAATGTCGGTTAGTAGTGGGCTTAGACTATTGTTACAAATGGTGTCAGAACCAGACATCAAACTGTGTGTCAACTAGAACATTAGATCTCAAAATATTGTTACAAATGGTGTCAGAACCAGACATCAAATTGTGTGTCAACTAGAATAGTAGTTTTCAAAAAGGTGAATTGTGAAATCTCAGGTCTCGAGAGGAGAACAAAGTATTTATTATAACTAGTCAAACCAAACGTATTTGCTAGCGGTAGGCTTCACCCTGTTACATCAATATTCAAACGTTAGGTTAGACTAAAAAAATTAATTTTAGTTAAATACATATTATAGTGAATATTTCGATCTCACCTAATTGCGATTATATAAATTATAACTAAAATTAAATATTTATGAAAAAAAATATTAAAATAGATGATTAATTGGAATTTAATACTTTTTTTTTCTTTTTTTTTTGTAAATTTAAGAATGATCTACGTAACAAACTCATTGTACGGGGAAGGAAAGAAAGAGAGAGAGACATTAAATACGCGAAAACGACGTCATTTCATGTCATTACAATGATTTAACTAATTAATATTAAAATATTAAATAAGCTTAAAAAAAAGAAAAGGATAAAATAAGATAAAAAGAGAATTGTGTGGATAATAAAGGAGATCACACGTGTACAGGTCAGCCCAATCAGCGGAGGATAACGTTATCATAAATTCACTTTACCGCGAGATACACTGTATCCTTAGCTGCACACGTGGCAAACGTGGGAGCTGAGATGGTCCCGTCCTATTAGGATTACCCACCCCTAGTGTATGGCCCACACCACCTAAAATTACACATTTTAGTCCATAATACTTTAAAATTTTAATTATTTTTCTCTTAAAAATAAAATAAATTTTTATAATTATAAATTTTTAAATTTAAAATTAAAAATATTTTAAATGAATTTAAATAATTAGTAGGATACTTTAAAAAAAAATTGAAAAAGTTACTATCCATACCAACAAAATGTACCTTTTTTACCATAGCTCAATCACAGTACAGTACTAAAAATTTAACCGTGTTTTACTTTGTTATATATTATAATTAATATCATTATCTATTAGTTAATAATTAAATATGTCAAATTGAGATGTTTTTCATGAAAAACACGATTTATTTAAGTTAAAACGTTTGTATTTTTTGTATGAATCAAATATTAATTACAGTCTAAAATATCTGTCATACTTATCCACATATATAAACGAAAGTAAATTGACCAAACTTGATTTGCATCATTTGAGTTATTTCGTAATTACTTCGTATTAATAGTCTATGTATTAAATATTTGGTATATTTTATATGTTGTATGTGTCTATATTTTATAGTTAGGTAAAAATAATAGTTTTTAGGTTAGTAAAAATATTAAAAAAATAGTCATACCATTAATATTATATTTGTTGGATGAAAGTCTTATCTTCCTAATTTAGGGAACGATCATGATTTTATAATCAAATAATACTATCTTCATTTGTACCAGACCTTTTGGGGGAAGCCCAAAGCAAAGACATGAGAGGTTATGCTCAACAATATCATATCATTGTGTAGAGTCGTGTTCATCTAATATTGTATCAAAGTCATGCCCTAAACTTAGTCATGTGAATAGAATTCTCAACTATTGAACAAATGACTCCAAAAGAAAGAGGAGTCGAGACTCCTCGAACGCATAGTAAAAATGACTGAGACTCCAAAAGTCGTGTATCATACCATTGTTTCACATAATTAAAATGCTTTTGAAACTATGGTAAAATTTAATAATATTTTTAAATATAATAAATAATTTTCATCCAAAAGTAATTAATAATATTGTAAACTTTTTATTTTAATTTAAGTCAGAAAATTTCAAAATTATTATTATTATTATTATTATTCATTCTAGAAAATGGGGATACACAGTGGAGGTTGGCGGGGCCCAACGGCGGCCTAATTTGATTGGTTAAATTTGTCGGAGTTTTGTCGTGTAGTGAGAACTGGAAAGTGCTTCTACGTGGAAAATGAAAGACCCAATTCCAACGAAACACCACCACCACCACTACAGGCTTCGAGGCTTAACCTTTTGACGCGTTACCCCTCCCTTTTTTGTATAATTATTTTCACACCCCTATACTTTATAATATTTGTCTCCATCCCCACACGTCTCTTGTTAGTCGTTACCAAACTAATCACTTTCTCGAACGTTCAACATTTGAGTTTTCTCGACCACGATTCAATTGGTTACGACGTTATGCTTCCAAACCAAGGCTACTCGTAACAACCCAATTTAGGTTGATTATCAGGTTTGCATGTTCTTAGTCAGGTTGACTCGACCTACCTAAAAATAAGGTTTACAATCCAACTCGATATTATGTAAATTTAAGAATATTTGACGATTGTAATCGATATTAATAATGTGTTGTGACTTATCAATGTTTGATATTTGAATTTTACTATATTTTAATTATTGATGTAATATGTATATAGATAAATATGATTTTTTTAATAATTAAAAAAAACTAACACGACAACTCAACCCAACCACGTGAGGTTTTATATGTTGTGGATTAACTATGCTCGTGATTATTAGGGGTGTTCATATGACCCGATCACCCGACCAACTTAAATTACCTATTTCAAACCATAAATGTTGGATCGGGTTAGATTTTTTTTTTTCGGTTTGGGTTGAGTTGAATTTTTAAAAAATAAAAATTCGGGTCGAGTTGACCTTTTTGGTTGGATCAACTCGATCAACTCAAAAATAGAGATTATTATGAAAATTAAGACATTCTATGTACAACATTTTTTTAAGTATATCATAAACACATTCAAGAATTCAAATTTAAAAATATAATATCCTAACCCTTCGATCGAATATTAAACTATTTTATTGTCGAGATTTGAACTTATGATATTATAGCATATTAGATGTAAAAATAATGTAACATTTTGAAAATGTTTATAAAATTTATTTCGTGCTTTACATAACCGGGCCTGGGCCTGATCGTGGGCTTGGGAGTTGGGTCCACATTATACTGTTCAGAGCCCAGCCCATTTTATATAATTTTTTGTTTTTTTTAAATAGAAAATTGTTTTTATTTGAAACTTAACCTAAATTATAATAAATTTATTATATTTTAATTTTTAAAAGTATAACAAATATAATTAACTGTTTAGTTTGATTATTATACTACTTATTTAGGATTAAAAGTTTATATAATTTTATTAAATTCATTTATACGAAAACAATTGTTAAAAATATTTTATATAAATTTAAAATTCTAAAATTAGTATAGGATGGCTCTCTTTTATTTCTGTTAATTTGTTTTTTATTTTTATCTATAATTTTATTTTGAATGTACTTAATTAATTACTTCATTTTAGTTTACTAAATGAATATAATTAATTATTTAATTTGAATAATCATTTCAACCGTACTTTTAAATTAAAAAATATAATTATAGTAATACGTCTAAAAAATATAAATTTATTTTAAAAAAAGTTCAAAAAAATTGTAATAACCTAAAATAATTATAAAATGTATTTTGTGTGTATGTGTTGTGTGTTTAATAATAATGATAATAATAATAATAATAAATAAATAAATAAATAATTAAATTTTAAAAAAAAAAAAAAAAAACGAAAAGTCGACGGAAACGAAGCAGCTGCTGTAAAGGAGGAAGAGGGACGGTGGACGCGTAGCTGGAGGCGTGAGAGGGATGAGTGGGTGATTAGGGGAGGTGGTAGCGTATTAGAGCCTGATTAGGCTTTAAAAAGAGAAGAAAAACGAAGTATGGAGATGGAGAGAAACCCAGAAAACAGAGGAAGAAATTTTTGAAGAATTCGAGTTTTGGTTGCTTAAAATTGGACATCAATCGAGGGTAAAGGAAGAGGGGTTGTTGCTGAGGAATCTTTTGAGGAAAGGATACGGCCCCGAGCTGAAGCGGACGGTAATTCGAAGGTAACGAAAAAACCCACATCACCGAACCTTTAAATCTCGATATCTTGAGTTATACTGCATAATAAGTTATGAGATAAGGCTGGTTAGAACCGTAGTTAGAAGATCTATAAAGTTGTAGAAGAAATCGGAATGAAATTCGAGCTGTAGAAATGGAATTTTTGCTTCGGGACATAACGGGTATTAAAGGAAAAGATTGGGAAAAATTTCAGGGAGGAGAGGTTGAAGACGAGCGCGTGAAGGACACGCGAGGCGCGTGGGAAGGCTGCGAGTGGAGGTGCGACTGT